TGTATTCGGGTGTGTCTAATTACTGACAGGCTGTATATTTGCATAACGAACTCTGTGTATATCCTCTAGGTCATTTGTATTGTTTTAGGTTAAGTTTTGGAGGAAGGTCTTTACCCGTGATCTCTCAACTGACACTCAGGACAACTAGGACGAGGAGGTCCTGGAAGTTCTCTTATATACCTGTATATCCTATTTGGCAGTCACTACCACGGTGTTATCCCTGGTTTTCGAATTAATCGAACCTATAGGGATTGACGCAAGGCACACGCCAACCCGGACTGGAACTAGTTTTCAGCCCGAGTCTTGTACTACCTGAACGACTTCGTGTTCGAATCCGTTCAGGGCACGCTATACACCTTTGGAAGTGTTCACCCACTTCGTCACAAGTGGCGCACTCTACCTATAGGATCCCTTCAAATGCAGTCTTGGTGTGTGAACACACCAAGACGGGAAGCATCAAACTCTAACCGGGTAATGTTACGGTTAGAGTTTCGTGTAACCCGGTTACAAAACGTATGCGGCTAGCCGAAGAAGACGTCAAGCGTACCAAGATAGGGGTGACAGAGAGTTCAACGATGCCTCGTTCCAAGTTCGAAGCTGACTGAGAGTCCGCATCTAATCCAGCCCCGTCTCCGAACTAGTCAATAGTTCGATCGGTGATATGTTTACGAATGGAGAACCAGACGAGTCCTCGTTGGTGCCAGTATTCGACCGTAGGTCGTTTGTCGATGATATCTGTTTCGGGAGCGAGACGTTCGATGGATGTCTATCAACCCTGGATCGGTTGCTCCGGCGGTTTACTGAGTGACGAATCAGTGTGAGCTTCACCAAGAGCATTTTAGTTCAGTCACGAGTCGATTTGCTCTCTCATGAAGTAGTCCCAGACGGATTGCGAGCGGACGCTAAGAAGATCAAAAGGGTGACCGAGTTCTCGTTCCCGACGAGTAAGAAAGGCATGCAAGCCTTCTTGGGCGCACTGAACTACTATAGTCGGTTCATCCAGGACTACGCGGTCTATGCATTGTACCAGCTGAAGGAAGAGGACTTCGAGCCGGGCGGTGATTTGTCAGTCGCCCGACAGAGTTTTGCTAGATGGCAACAGCAAATCGGTGACGCCCCGATTCTGCGTCATTTTGACCGAGAAAAGGATATACACGTGACACTATTTGCGAACGAGTGGGCGTTAAACTCCACCCTAATGCAAGCGCACGATGGCAAAATGCACGCGGTCCGCTGCTGCGGACGTGTTCTGAACGAAGCCGAGATGAACTACCACCCAGCCGAGAATGAGGTGGTAGCCTTGCTACTGTTGCTGGAGACATGCTACACACAGCTGGCAGGCCGCACCATTCATGTGTATACTCGGTTTTCAACGTTGGAGTGGGTACACACATCGAAGTCTCTGTTCGGACGAACGCCTCAATTCGCTGTGATGCTGTCTCCGTTGCATTTGGTGGTCACCAGAGTAAAAGAAAAGGATTGCTCTTTCGCCCAGCTCTTGCAAGCGGGGTTAACGAGTTTTGTTGATTTGGAAGACTTGTTGGCGACGGTTACACCGCCCATGAAGGGATCTTCCACCGTCCACATGGACCCTAAGTTGCTCTACGCTCGATTACCCCGAACCTACAGTGGGCACATGGTCTCGTTCGACGGATCGGCCAAAACCGAGAAGGACGGTGGCTACGGTAGTTGCTCAGGGGTTGTGTGGTGACTACCTGACTGGACTATAGTCACCGCTGCGAGTGCCTATCTCGAAGCAACAACGGTGAACATGGCCGA